ACAAGCCCATTGTAATTATCAGTCCAAGTCCCAAATCCTGAGAACCCAGGAGACCACTGCTACTTGTCCTGGATTCCTAAAGCCAGAAGACCTAGAGGACGCATGTCTAAGTGATTCGGAATATGGCACCCTGCCATTGTAAGGAAGAGGGACCACAGACAATACTGTAAATTGCTCACATGTGTTGTAGTGAGAACAGAGGCTGGGATTAAAAAGAAAGATTAAGAAAGATTAAGGCATAACATGGCAAGATCTGAGACTCTGAGAAAAATACCTGGGAAGATGAATAAGATGGCTTGTCATTGGATATGATAGCTGGGCTGACAGATTAGAAAGTAGTAAGGGATCTGAGCTAGTGACAGCAGGCCAGGTCACCCAGTCTACAGCCTTAGAGTAACATATGTGAGGAGTTACTGTCTTTTCATTTATTCTTCCTTCTAATTTAGATTGCTGTTACACCTTGAATTTTAAGTAAAGATGACTGGTAACAAGAAGCTTCCATCCTGGAGACTACCTCAGACCACTGGTAGACATAGAGCTAAATTTGAGATAGCCACAAGAGGTCCCAGCTACAACTCAGCGGCCGGCATAGAGTTCATTCTCTTCCATGATAAGGCTGATAAACTGATCATGTAAATGAATAAGAAACAGTTGTTAGAACACTATTTGTGGCATCTGCAAGGTCAGAATGTGGTCATGATGGCCAAGTGACTAAAAGGTCAGAGTTGGAATCAGAGGTAGACGAAAGGATTCAGCTATCTTTAACTTTGGGCAGGGATAGAACAACACAGCATATGGCCTTCTCCCTCCTTGGGCTAGGGGGAGGCATTCATAATGTGTGTGGGTCCTTCACTGACCCACAGATAATAAGCCCAGGGAAGTAATTAATCTCAATAGCAAGTACTTTAGGGTTGATCCAGTTTCTGTCCCTGTAAATCCCGTAAACAAAGAAAACTCAATGACTTTTTTCTTTTCCTGGAATCCACCCCCCCCACACACACACACACACTCTCAGGGCTTTCACATTTCATTAATTCCTTCAATTTTTCACTTCTCTGTAATAATTCTTTTTTTTTTTTCTTTCAAGACAGGGTTTCTCTGTGTAGCTTTGCGCCTTTCCTGGAGCTCACTTGGTAGCCCAGGCTGGCCTCGAACTCACAGAGATCCGCCTGGCTCTGCCTCCCGAGTGCTGGGATTAAAGGCGTGCGCCACCAACGCCCGGCCTCTTTTTTTTTTTTTTTTTTTTTTTTTTTAAATATTTGTTTAGTTTTGTTTTGTGTGGATGAGTATTTTGCCTGCATGTCCGTATGTGTATCGTGTGGTGCCTGGTGACCACAGAGAACAGAAGAAGGCATCATATTCCATGGAACTGCAGTTACAGTTGATTGTGAGCCACCATGTGGGTGGAAACTAAACCCAGGTCCTCTGCAAAAGTAAGGGTTCTTATCCACTGGCCTTTTCAGTCCCTGTAATAATTCTGATTAACGCTTCATTCTCCTTCTCATATGGCTGTGGGAGTCCATGTCATTAATCTTCTCACTAACTCACTGTTGGTAGGCTGACCACTGATAACTGTGTCTGGCATCTTACACCCTTGAGTCATCCACAGCTGTACTGTGAAAGGTCTCATTGTACTAAAAGCTCCTGCATCACAACTGCAGGAGGAACAAAGTGCCGGGCGGTGGGAGGCAGAGCCAGGAGGATCTCTGTGAGTTCGAGGCCAGCCTGGTCTACAGAGAGAGATCCAGGACAGACAAAAGACACACACACACACACACACACACACACACACACACACACACACACACACACACACACAAAGTATTCAGCTCCACAAGAAAGAGAAAGAAAGCAAACTTTTTCTCTCCCTGTTTTTATTCTATTTGGGCCCCAGACCTGTTGGACTGTCTCCCACAACGAGGTCTTGTCTTCCCAACTTTGTCCACTAAAATACAAACCTGTCTTCTCTGAAAAATCCTCCTAGATGATGTGTATCACATTCTGCCAGTTTTTAACAATTCCTTTAATTGAGTAAAGTTGACACTTAAAATTACTCTAAGAATGGCCTCCATAAGCTCATATAGTTGTATGCTTAGTCACCAGGGAGTGGAACTCTCAGACAGGATTTGATAGAATTAGAATGTTTAGGAGGTATGACCTTGTTGGAGGAAGTGTGTCACTGGGGGGTGGGATTTGAGTTTTCAAAAGGCCATGCCAGGTCCAGTAACTGTCCTCCCTGCCCGTGGATCAGGATATAAAACTCTCAGGTACTGCTCCAGCAACTTGCCTGCCTTTTTGATGCCACACTCCCCATTATAATGATATTGTACAAGCCCTCTGAAACCATAAGCAAGCCCCCAGTTAAATACTTCCTTATATAAGGATTGCCTTGGTCATGGTGTCTCTTCACAGCAATAGAAATCTTACCTAAGACAAGGAGTATATGGGAGGGGTTAAAGGGAGGAAAGGGAAGAGCAAATGATGAATTTACATGATAATGTCAACTAATAAAAATAAATATACATATACATGTATTAATAGTAGTTAAAATACTTAGCAAGATTACTTCTAATAGTTTTTTTCTCAATGGGTAGAGCTAGGCTAGGTTCTTCATGATCCTAAACAGGACCACTGAATCAGACAAGTGTGCTGGCTAAAATAATAAATACAATCATGACTTCTTAAAATCAATTTTCTGCTCAGAAATTGTGTAAGAATCTCTTTCCTTCTGTGTCTGGACACTTTCATCACAGCACATTTCTTCACACAGGTCTCTGAAATGTTATCAGTGTCTGAGATGTGCAAACACTCACTTTTTCAGAGATCTAGTCATTACTGAATAAAAGTCATAAATTTATCATCACATTTGAGGTAGCAAGGTAACATGCAAGGTTGAATTAAAAAAATTTTTTTCATTCCATCTTCTCCTGAAGTTAGCAATAATAATTTAGAAAGGAAATGATTTCTTTTCTCTTTTCTTTCTTTCTTCTTTCTTTCTTTCTCTTTCTTTCTTTCTTTCTTTCTTTCTTCTTCCTTCCTTCCTTCCTTCCTTCCTTCCTTCCTTCC